GTTTCAGCTGACGTACAGACATTCTCACATTACCTTGAAGAATTGTCTGATATACTTGGGAATTCATCTTCCCCTCAATGATTCCAAGCTGGCCAGGCCCTGATGCAGCAAAGCAGGCCCAAATCATGATGTTTCTTCCACAATACTTCACGGCTGGGATGATGTTTTCATGATGATATGCCGTGCCTTTTCTACGCCAGATATAGTGCTGTGTGTTTTTTCCAAATAGTTCAATCTTAGTTTCAGCAGTCCACAAAACATTTGCCAATACCGCTGTGGAGTGTCAATGTGCTCTTTTGCAAACTTCAGGCGTGCAGCAATGTTGTTTTTAGCAAGCAGTGTCTTCCTTTGTGGTGTCCTGCCGTGGATACCCTGCTTGTTCAGCGTTTTACGTATTGTAGACTCATGAAAAGAGATGTTAGCAAGTTCCAATGATACCTTCAAATCTTTGGCTGTCAAATCTTTGGGGTTGTTTCTTTAGCTCACTGATGAGTCTTTGTTGTGCTCTTGGTGTCATTTTGACTGGGCGCCCACTTCTTGGTAGAGTAGCAACAGTCCCAAAGTGTCTCCATTTGTAGATAGTTTGCCTAACTCCAGACTGGTGAATTTCTAAAGTCTTTGAAATAACTTTGTAACCCTTGCCAGCTTTATGAAAATCAACAATTCTTGATCGTAGATCCTCTGAAAGCCCTTTTTGGCGAGGCATGGCTCACATAAGCGTGTTCTTCTTGTACAGAGCAAACTCCAAAAGTTTGAGGTTTTTATCAGTCAAAGTAGCTGTAGTCCACACCTCCAAACTTATTTTCTTAACGAGACTCCAGGTATGCTTAAACCTGACTCCAATTAGCTTTTTTGAGGTTATTAACTCAAGGGTTCACATACTTTTTCCACAAGCACTATGAGGTTTTTTTGGTTGTTCTCAATAAAGACATGAAAGATCAAAAAAATGTTGTGTTATTATTTTAGACACATTTTATTTGTCAATTCCCTTGACTTAGATGAAGATCAGATCACATTTTATGACAAATTTATTCAGAAAACCATGAAATTCCAAAAGGTTCACATACTTTTTCTTCCCACTGCACATATAGAGTGTTCCTTTATATAAAGGTCGCTTCCTATTTGAAACAGGAGAAATATTTAAGTATTCTATTCTGTAATGAGCTGGTTAAGTTAAACATTTTATATTTTCTATAAGAGCAACTGTCTGAAGTATTTTGACTTGTGGTCCGGCAGAGGGCGCTTTTAAAATCCACCCTCAGCTTGACCTATTGCATGTATACTATATAATGTATATGCAATATATCAACACTGTGCATTTTGAAATGATCAGCTATGCCAATGTTTTATGCAGAAGGAAATGTATTTGACATTTTTATTAGGCCTCCGGATACACAATATGTTCTAAGTTGCTAACATTAGTAGCTAAGTGAAGCAGTACAGACTTTTCTGTTGTTATGGCACTCCAGTACATTGGATTCTAAAGGAAACAAAGTTAAAGTGCTGACTCTTACAGCAGCTTTAAGGGAGTTTATTGGATATGCAGTAGCTCATTTATACATAAATCCCCATTTTTAGGACAATACAGCAGGACTGGGATTGTGATTAAACAGACAAGGCAATTGAGGAGATTTCATCTAATCCCAATCCAGCTGATCACGTGTTTTAATTGTTGAAGAGCGACCGAAGGCAATCAAGACACTCCTGAACAAGCAAAAGTGGTTTCAGTAGTTTTTATTTTATTTTAACATGAGTATTATTTAAACTCACAGCTTTTTTCTTTCACTTTAGTGCATTTCTATACCAGTAATATTAGCTCACTTTATGCCTCTTTAAAAAGAAAATGCCAGTTTGAGTAAAATATATTGGTACACTTCATCCTACAGAAGTTTTCTACAGTAGCACTGCTCTCCACTTCACCTGAAGAACAATGTCTTTGTTGCTGCAGACACTCCAAAGTACTCCTAGAGAGCCAGAAACAAACACTGACTGGATTTAAATAACAGGGAAACTCAGAGCGGCAGGCCTGCTGATTATTAAGAAAACCAGATACACAATAAGCACACAGGAATAGACAAAATACACACTGCATGCTGCAGAGACTCACCTCTGAGGTATAAAAACAAAGTTGTACACACAGACACGCACACACACACCTTTTTGGAGAGAACAGCAGCAGTGTTTTACACGCACAAACACATAAACACACACACACACACACACAGTAAGACACAGCCAGACACACATATCCCCCTGCACACAGAGCGATGCACACACGGCCAATAGAGCTCCTCTTTTTCAAACAAACACACACACACACACACACACACACACACACACACACACACACACACACACACACACCAAATAACTGCTCTGTTATATTGTGCAGCTTCAGTTTTCACAGAGAAATACATGTTTTGCATCATGCACACACACACACACGCGCACAAACACATTAAACATACACATACTTCACCAATCTGGTACGTATCAAATCTTTAAGCTATAAAGCCCTCCACCTGCTCATTTCATTTCAGTCTGGACCGAAGGCCTTGAGCTCTGTTTTTTGTTGGCAAGTTTCTCCAAAACGTCTGTTGCTGGAGCAGCTCATTGCAGAAATGTGAAGAAATTATTAAATTTAATTAATTTTGCAGCTTGAAGGACTTAATAATATCTACTAGTTTGTGGTATATGAAAGATTCTGTGGCACGCATGGCTGATGTTTTAATTAATTGATCCTAATGAGAATTTTACCTCAATTTGAGACTAAATCTCTATGTAAAATGTATGATTTTATGATGAATTTGTCCAGGAAGAAATATAATCAACCATAAGATTTTTGTGATATTTAGAAATGTTTTATATCTCTGTATTTTAAAATATGCATATGCATGTAGTAAATTATGTAGAAAACCAGGTGCATGAAGTCTAATGAAGACAAAGCCAGACATTACATATAGTGCAAACATGTGGCTAATATAAGACAACTATACAAACAATAGGTTAGTTTCACCATATTTGCAGCATGCAAGCTACTATTTGCAACATTAGTTAGTTTCCTCTTGCTCATTTTGACATGTTTCACCAATCCAAACAAATGCCACACTGTGAGCCCGGTCTAATATATAAATAAATGAGTCTGAAATACTGAGTATTGATCATTTGTGAAACACGATCATGCCACCATTCACCAAAAGGCTTTTGTGAAATGGGCCTCTGTTTGGTTAAACTTGAACTGTAAGACAAATGGATCAACAGGACCTCTAATATACCTGTTTGACTTTACATGAAGTGTAAGGGAAGGCTTCAGTGTGTGTTGGTTTTTCAAGCAGCGTGTGGTGTTTCTGGTTTAAAATGCGGTCAAAGAGTAATAAAGCCCGGGCTGCTTTCTCTGCGGTAACGGCTGACATCCTGGAGGTGGTGAAAACCAATAATTCACACGAACCTGCAGCGTAATGGGCTTTCAGAGAGCTATTCGGGGCACAATGACACCGCCTGTCCAGGCCTTTGATAGACACTTGCACTTCCTCATGATCCCACGGCCATGCAGAACCACACACAGACATGCACACACACACTCATCCTCGTCTCACATTTGCTGCCCCTGCAACTCGGCGTTCAGTCCAGTTTCTAGGCGTGAAAACGCAGTGTCTTTGAAGGTGGGGAGTCAGACCACAGCTTTTGGCTGTGGCAGCGTCAAATCCAACCAGCCAGAGAATCGGGGTCAGAACCAAATTATCTCTAAAAGGTTGGAGGGAGGCAGGAGAGAACAGGATGAAAAGGAGGGAGGAGAGGGGAGGGAGGGGAGAGAGAGAGAGAGAGAGAGAGAGAGAGAGAGAGAGAGAGAGAGAGAGATAGGGATAGGAGTTCTCCTTGTACCTAGAGAGGTAAGTAAGCCAGAGAGACCTGCAGCAGCGATTGTCCCCTGTAGATGAACAGTGAGCTTGGGTGTGTGCATCAGCAAAATGGGAAAATATGGCACAAGATAGAGGAGGTGTGCCAATAAAGTGCTGCACTGGTGGTTAACCCCATCTGACCAGCGCTTTATTTGCTCAACAGGGTTTAGGCCATTCACTAAACCCCTTCCCTGAACGGCCAGTGATTGTCCAATCAGAGCTGAACAACTGCAACCAGGCACAGCGAGTCTGTCGAGCTTTGAATTTCTCCACATCCCAGACTGGTGCACACGGGGGCCGTAGTGAGAGCGATACCCTGCATTTAAAGAGTTGGGAGAGTGGGGTCTTCCAAAACTCAAAACTAAAAGTGTAGTGAATGCATTAAACATCTGCTTTAAATAAGCTGTGAATGTTAGCATGTCCAGCTAGCTAGCTAAGTACTTTACCGACAGCTGTAAGCTAGCCCGGTATTACTTCCGAGGCCAAGAGGCATTTCATTAGCTAACTATATTATGTTGTGGGGTTGGTTTGTGTACAGAAAAGCCCTGTTCATGATATCCACTGTGTAGTCTTTCCCCGCTCTGTGGAAGTCCTGGATGCTACTTTATCAGAGCGTAAGCTATATGGATTTTCAACAGCTGAGGGTGGGAGGACTTTTTTCTCCTGGGACATGAAGCTTTAGCCTCAGTCTATAAGCTGTATATCATATATGAAGCCATCATTCGTAAGACCCCTTTCATAAGATTCTGATTTTAAAACAAGTCAGCTGGATACGCATTTTTTAACCAACTCATGGAGCTAACATTAGCTTAGCCAGCTAGCAACAACTTATATTATTATCTAAATATGCCACCATTATCATTGCAAACTGCATGGTGTGTGAGAAAGGAAACAGACAGTAGGGTGGGTAGAGCCATTGGTCAATTTAAATTGTAATTCATTTTTGCATATTTTGTCCATACTGATGAACAGGAGGTCAACACATTATACTTTATGTACCACTACTCTATAGAAGCAGATGACCTAAGAGACTGTCACAGAGACAGGCCAACAGTCAGTCACACAGACAGACAGACGGGTCGTGGTTCTTTTTTAGCTCACCTTGTTCCCTATGGCTTTCTTGGGTGGGAAGTTGAAGGTGTCCACCTGTGGAAACTGGCTTCTCAGGTGGTTGTGGAGCTCCCTGAACTCGGTGTAGCGCCTGTACACGTTCCACTCGTTGTCCAGGATACGGATGTACACCTGAGGACAGGTAAGACACATCATCATCATCATCATCATCGTTGTCGTGACAATCAGCAGCAGCAGCAGCAGTGCACGCTGCTTTCACTAAAGTTGTCAAATCATTACTTAAGTGTTGCAATAAACCAGCATACAGGCCTCCCCACCTATTAGGAAGCTAACTAAACCAGGACTCAGTTATCAAATATTCTGAAAGAAAAAAGGAACAAAAAGCCCACATCAATAGTAATCTGTTTTGTAATTGGCTTTTACATTTTTTTGCAGTCAACATATTTGTAATTAAGCCCTTATAGTGCCTTTCAATACAGTGAATACATGAGATGGGTGAAAGAATGACTCCCTCTCATCCCTGTAAATGTGTATTTTCACTTACACACTGCAACACATAACAGAGAAAGAGTCTGTCTATAGGCATGACTGTGCTGCCACCATTTCCACGCACCATTAGCTGCTTTATTCAGACTCACGAAATATAGAGGGAGTGCAGACAGAGAAAGAGAGAGAGAGAGAGGGGGGAAAGATGAGCCTATTACAAGACAGAGAGGGAGAAAAAGAGTGGGAGATGGGTTCCATTTTCACAGTAGAAAACAAGGAACGCACAGAGACAAAAGAGAGAGCAGAACGGCTTTTGAGAATTCAATTTCAAAATGCCCCACAAAAAATACAGACTTGATTCAGGTACATGAAAACAGAAATTGATTTAAAAATCGACCAAATGTACCTTGGCATAGCCCCCCCCACCAGACAAATATAAAGTAAACAAACAGCTATAACGTTGAACTGCATGTTCTCTTCTAAGCACTCATAGTCCCGAAAGTGTTCGTAATGGATATTACTGCTCTGTTATAATTAGCAAGAAAGAAAACACAAGAAAGTAAAGTAACATGAATGGATTGAATAGACTGAAGTGCGTCACCCCAACACGTCAGCAGCTGAAAGGAGAATCTTCAAGCCCCAGTATACTGCAACAGAAAAGGGTTTCAGACGACGGTCATTGGTCAGTGATCATCTTCCCCTCACCCCCACACACACCTTTCCAACGTTACAAATTAGGTAAGTGATTGGCCAGGTATGCTGGGTGAAAATGTGTGTCATTATTACCACAGTGAAACAATTAACGTGTCTCTATGAAATTAGGAGCCAACCCACCTGCTATATGTGATGAAATATTTCACTGGATAATTGAAAACTGACCAGCTAGTGGCACTGGAGGAGAGTTCAGAGGATCAGTTATGTCCTCTCGGGAACATGATTGCATGCCAATCCATCTAACATTTGTAGAGATATTTCAGTTTGGACCGATACTGCTGTCCCTATACACACTATATACACTTCTTAAAGGACATTTCATGTCATTTATTCCCTTTTTCCGAAGTGTAGAAAACAAACAGAGCTACAGTACAGGAACTCTTACTACATTTTATGTTCATGTCAACCTCAAAGACATTTTGACTGATATTGGAGCAAGTAAATAATGACAGGGTTTTTTTTTTTTTTTTAGGGGACTGTTCTTTTACTCAGTGATCTTTTGTCAGCATGCACGGTACTGTGCAGTCTATGTTACATAGCAAACATGAAAAATTTGACATTTTGGACAGCCATTAAGAGGAGACTGACAGCTGAAGCTTTGTTAGCTGTCCTAAATGTCTCGTTGTTAATATTCCAGCATCAGTGACAGACATGTCTAGACATCATTAATGTTATTAAAAGATATGAGAAAATGACACTTCACAGTACAGCTGAGAAAATGATCTAAAAGCATGTACCATCATTTATATAGACATTTACTGAGTAAGTGGGAGGTGAGAAAGAATACCATGATGGTTTTTTTTCTAATCCTATGCTTGCTTATCTGTGTCTTTATAAATTTACGCTTACTTTATCTGCTGTATAGTCACAGAATAATAGAATAATATGCTTAAGGGCAATAAGATTTTTGTACAGTGGCATGAACACATATTTCCTGAATGAAAACTACTCTCTGATATAAAATTAAAGACCAAAGAAATCGAATCCACTCCTTGGCTTGAGAACGATCAGTAAAGAACAGACACAACAGTGACACGGTGGGAGAGACATGAGGCAAACGTACTGTGTGAGGTGAAAGCTACAGGTGCACGATGGGAAGTCAGTTAATGTTGTTTGGCCCACTCATTTGCCTGACTTACCAACACAGTCAGCAATTGCAGTGTTTGTGACACAAAGAGGCAATTATTGTTACTTCTTCTCATAGTCATAACTCACTCAAATACAAACACAATGACATGACAACATTTTTTAGATTCAGTTTGACTTATACTAGAGGATATCGTTATGTCCGATGCCCATCATGAATAAACGTCATAAAATCAGTTAATTCCAGCACAGAATCGTAATGTTTTTCTGTTTTTTTCAAATTCGGCATACTTTTAATGCAGATAATTTGCCAAAATTTGCACAGTTGGCTCAATTGAATTTGGAGTGGGTTGGGGGTGTATATCAGTGGAAAACCCCTGATATACAGTAACTTGTATGAAGAGCAGCTGCACCAGAGGGAAGACCCAAATAAATGACAGTAGTGGTTGACAAGATGGAAGAAGACATGGCTGCTAATGGATTGGAGACTTGTCATCTCAGCACTTTATGTCTGACCTACAGGAGCACATCTAAGTTTTTACCAACTTGTTTTTTGCAAGTTAAGAGAAGGACTGGCTTGGTGTGGTCTGGTTGTGTTTGTGTGTGCTTGCATGCATGTGTGTGTGTGAGACTTTCTTCTAGCTTCTTCTATAGTTGACTAAACTGGGCCATCATGAATGCCTTATTTGGGACGAATCACAGCTTCTTTGACTTTATTTTGGAGTTCTGTGTATAAAGATATTTTAAGCACTTACATAAAAAGCTAATTAAAGTTCAGGCATTTTTGATTTTTGATTAATAGCCAAAAATTAAGGTAAAACAATCAACGTAACCAACTGAATTTGGCACATTTTTAATATATCATATAGATCGATATTTCATAATTCACAAGCTGGACTCATCACCAGATTTATGTGCAAAAGCCTTTTAGAATCTCACATGCAAGTGTAGAAAAACATCAGAAAGCATTTTTAATGTATTCCTTTCCTTTTGTCCAATTGTTTTTTTCTCCTTTTTGTCTTTTTTTTTTTTATTGTGAAGTTACCTTGTCACCTCATCATTGTCTTGCATGATAGGTTTAATTTGTCTGTATTCAATTAAAAAAAAACATTGGAACTTCCACACATCCTCATCTGCCTGCTTTCCACAATCACTGCATCATTGTGAAAACAGGCCACGTCAAAGTGAAAGTTGAGGCCACACTGAACAATAACTGTAGCTTTAAGTCAAGGGCTACACATTCATTATGTATTCCATACACTAGTATTCAACTGAGGCGAGCAAGGTCTGTGCTTTTAAATATTCCATACAGTGTGCTGAAATAGTGGTGTGTTTTTTTTTTGTGTGTGTGTGTGTGTGTGTGTGTGTGTGTGTGTGTGTATCCTAGAGTAAAATGTACCTTGAACCAAAAATTAACTGTCCTCATCATATTGAATACTACATAATGAGCATACTGTATTGCTTCAAAGACCAGGCAGTGAGTTTAATGGTAACTTACTGTATGTACTACAGGTTATATTGCCACATGTAGTCTCTTGCATCTTGAATACACATTAAGAGCAGCATTACCAAAGCTGTGACGATACCATCAGCCTTGTGGCGTCTGTAGTTTCTCAGACATCAAATGGCTCTACACATATGGCAGTATTAGCACAGCGAGCTTAATCCACTTTACACCGTCTCATTGGCATACTTATTTATGGCAACACATTAGCCTCTGCACACAGCGACCAGCTCCCTCCTCCTGACTAATCACAAATAGTCTTTCATTATCTCTGACAAAAATCTTGGCAACATCCAAACTGCAGCAACCTTGCATATTTGAGCACCGGCACTTTGAGATCTCCAGTAAAAGCCGTCTTCAAACGGGGACAGAGCCTCTAATCATGGTTCAGAGGGACTTCGCGGAAAAAGGGTTGATGGGTTTTGGCTATTGTTGAAAGCTTGACTGTGATGGACACAGCGCTATTGTCAGTATTTAAATGGCTTATGAGAATATCTTAGAAAGCATAATAATACGTGTGATGAAAATATAACCTCAATGAGTCGACATAAGAAGGAAAATCTACCTTTGGTTAGTGAAGTATCAGCAATTTATGATGCTGAGAAATTATTTTTTTTAAGCAGTGAAGTGCTGTAATTCACTTCTTCTGTGTACCGACTTTTCCCACGAAATTGATTCACCTACTTCAGGTGCAAAAGTGAATTCAGCTTCAGGCCATATCATAGCAAAGTGAAAGGTCCAGAAAAAGAGTGTGTGCTTAGTCATAACACTACATTTTCTTATACAGTAACTGCATTACACTCTCCTCTGTTGAGACTAACGTAGGTGCAGAAAAGTTGTCTCTGCCTCTTGCACAATGGATATCTCACTCTATGTTACATACAGTGACCTGCATTAAGACTGTAAGGCGGCTGTCTGAGTGATAAAAAAACCTGAACTGCAGCCTACAAGGTCCAATGCCTAGGTATGCCAAAATAAAAATAAAAAGCTGTACGTCGGACCTCTCATTCAATCAATTTTGCATAAACTTTGTTTTTGTTTGCCTACTTCTTTCATTTCTGATGATTTTGCTTTTGAACTCCCAATTCATTCAGAATAAGGCAATATCATTTTACAGTCAACAGTGTTTTTTTTGTCCTGCGGAGAAAGGCAGACTGTTCATTTACATAACCTGTACAGTCTGAACCACTCGTGAATATCAGCTTTACCTAACAGTCTGAGAATGAGACCAGTTCTCTTGAATCACTTGTACGTGCCACTTAAGAACAAAACTGTTAATACGAGTGGTTCTTTAATGAGGTCCAAGAAACGTGAATAACTGTTATTTGTTCTCTGTTGTGTCTTGAAATATTAACACTGTGCTTTTTTTAGATGCTCACTT